TCTAGATGTCTCCTACGACCTGATATACGACCTCAGTAACAAGTGATCCAGTCATTTTAGCTCAAGAACCACATCAGTCTGATTTATAAACAAATCACAGTTGTAACCAATGTGGTTTGAAGGACAGATGTTCAACGAAGTTCCTACGTTTTCAGGAAACATTCGTAAATAACTACATGTAGTTAGTTTCTCCAACAGTGCATCGTACTGTGGTAGTTAAGCACCAAGTTACCCCCATGGTTTGGTAAACGCAGCCCAGATCGGTTTTCTGAACCAAATCAGCTAATTAATTGAAAAGATTAGACTCACAATACCAATTCATTTACACATATGTGGCACATGAGATGGTCCACTTTTGTGATGCTTTTTGAAGCTCTGGTCCTCATTCATTTTGAGAGCATAGAAAAGAACGACCAGAACAATCTTCAGTTTCTACAGTTAACACTGTCTGATCAGACCTCATTAGAAGGTACATGATGCTCTGATGGCTGTCAAAAAGATTACATCACTGTTTTTGAGACTCCCTCAGTCCTCTCATGTTCTCACTTTTGTTTAGTTCTGCTAACTTCTGCTTCATTCTCCCAGATGGTCTGATATAACTAAATGATCATTGTCTTCCATACTTCCAGTCTTCATGTTTTCAAGTAGGCAATGCTTTTTCCAAAGATCCTATGTGGTCATAATTCATTCAGAGAGTTACTTTTGACATAGAAATTGTGTCTGAAGTCAATAATCTTATACTTGAAGCGAAAAGTTTTTCCACTTTCCTATACCCTTTAAGTAATGGGCCCTTTTAAGCATGGCTCTGCACTTAATCCTCACTCATTTTGTCTTAACAGTCAAAGCCCAGTCCTGCAATTAGACTGAAATGTCACCAGACTCTGTGCGTTCATGCCTCACTCTCGATACCCTCCACACACCCTCACAGTCCCTCCGCTTTTAGCGGAAGCATGCATCCTCTTTCTGTTTTTCTGCAAGCCGTCAGCTCTGGTGTCACCCAGATCCTGTACCAGCTCCACATCTATTACTCACCTAATTGATGTAGAGACCTGTGTGCTGTGCTGCCGCCCTGCAGATTAACCAGCCAGAATTATTTTCACTGCAGCCATTGCGACCCATAGAGCATCTCGGTCTAGTATTACATTACTCTGTACTGCCCCAGAGGGCACGGGGGGGGAAAACAGGGGCATCCATGGTGTTTGGAGCATGATATGGACTTCAGCCAAAAAACAGTGCTGTATTTGGGGCTGTCCTGAAGAGCTTGCAATAAACGCATCCATTCGTGTTGAGTTTCAGGTGATTACGTGTATAGATAATGATGAGCAGGGGTTCATTTTTTGTTGGTTATGAATTTCTGATTTCTGTTGAGGGATTTTTCTTCTCACTAACAATGCTTTGCTCTCAATTTGCACCGTTGAGAAGCTACTCCTGTGGAAAAACACCAAAAAATTGTGTCAGACATGAATTAGGAGTGACTATCTCTTCAGAAAATATCTTAATCACATTAGACTGACCTTGTAAAAAAAAAAAATAAGGCAGGTAATTTACATTAGGATGACAGGACATTTGGTGCCAGTGCTGTGCTTGCCAAATGTTAATCCACCTTTGTTGGGAAGCAAGCTACTGTTGATAATAATAGATACAGGGCCTGGTTAGCATGATTCATGCTCATGCCTCATCTTTCAACACATTATGAAACCTATGTTATTGATCTCATGAATGCTGATGTGTTATTTTATTGCAAGACACATTAAATATATTTGGTCTTGGGGCCTCTTTTTGTCCATATCAAAATGTTTTAACCACACTGCAAACAAAATGTGTGAAAAAACAGTTATTTCTCTCAGATGAGTTATTACTGTTGAAAAAGTTCAAAATAAATAACTCCTCAGACATACATATAATTAAAAACTCAGAACTATAGACTGCAATGTCATGTGACCTAAACATTTACTTTATTGAAACCATAAAGTTAATCATCTTCCTCAGCGTGGATCATGGGCGATGCTAACATGTAGACCATGAAGTATTTTTGAGTAATTATAAATGTAAATTTAAATGCATTAACTAATTTTTGTCTGTATTTTCAGTAGCTGCCTTACTCAGAAGTTCTCCCGAACATGCAATAAGCAACAATTAATTTCTCAGCTATAGTCATATGAGTTTGTTAGTTTGTGACGCTTTGTGACATTGTCTTTGACATTGATTGCATCTGTGGCGAATTATAGTATAATTACAAGTGAAAAATTGTACATTGTTCAGTGATGTTTAATCTTATTAGCCTATGTTGCAAGCGGTAGCTAGATTAAGAAAGGACAAACGATCAAATTTAATTAATTTAAACTGTATTATTATTATTATTATTATTCGAGTATGTTTTAGTAGTTCCACCATGCCAGTAAAATTACTAACGGATTAAAGTTGTCTACTGAGTTAAAACGGTTAGCAAATTTTATGGAACACGAGATAAAATCGAGTTGTCAAATAAAACATTGCTCTCGTGAAAAATGAATAAGGGCCTCTCAGTTTAGACAGTATCCCATAAAAAACTGTATATATCCATCTTACCAGATGTGTGGGCAGATCATTTACAATCCCCAGAAAGGTCATGTGAATAAAAGTTAGTGAAAAGATCCGATATTGCCTGTGAAATCGGAGCTCTCGGGGTCGGAAGCGAGGAATAAATTATGGAATAAAACTGTCCAGACAGACGTTCACTGGAGTAAGTGACAAATCTCTCTGAGTCATTAGACATGCAGAATACTCACAGACCCCGTGCAGACAACGAAAAATGACTTATAAATATTTTGGTTCAGTCCTTCAGGCATGGACAATCCCGTTTAAGTTGCCTGCGAATTCCTTCTACAACAAGGTGAATTGAAAAACACAATTATAAGTCGTACACAATATGAAACCAACGGCAGTAGGTAACGCTTCTTCGACTGATAATTGGGCCTGATGCTAATTCTATATTAATCTCTAGAATATTACTTTGATTTAATTGTGATCCTAAAAATAAAAAAACGATAATAATAATAATAAACTGTCATTAAATATAAGTAGTATGCGCAGAATGTAGCCTATTGCATCGTAAAATAAACTTTTGTATTTGTATGAATTCAGTAGTGGTATCTTCCATGGCATTTCATTGCGTCATATCTGCTTACGCAGGCGTCCTGCTCACTGTAGGCAACACTAAATGATCATGTCACACAGGCGTAACCACCTGCCTCTGTATCCTTTTATGGTGCTTTTTCTTTTTCTTGTTTTTTTTCGATGAACTGTTAATTTGTTTGAATTTATTCAAATATGCTGGGTTTGTTGTTGTTGTTGTTTTACTCGGGTATTTATTTGTGGTTTTATAAAATGTGAGCTGTTATGCTGTTTTTGCCGAATTCTAAATGTTGGTATAATCGCTACAAATTAAAATTAATATTACGTAAATTATATAATTGGTTTAATATGAATAACTGCTGTTCTACTTTATTTTTTTATCTAAATTAATACGAATTAATTTAGCATATTTTCTTTCATTTAATTAAAAAAGATTTAAACAAATCACTTACAAAGCGGCAAAAAGGAAAACTTTCTCTGGTGAAGCTGCAGTCTACTAACCACCAAAACGCACTGTTTTGTCACGCTGTATCAGCCTTTATCCGCCATACACGGCTGTTATCCGATGTCCCTCGCGGTGAGCTTCAGCCTTATTCTGCCGATTTAACCCAGGCCTCGTTACGCTAAAGTGCACGACGAAAACAACGCAAAAACATCATTAGACGCTTTAACCAATACACTAATTATAGGAAATACATACGCGCTACAAATATAGATTATATATAACCTAGGCCTATATAATTAAACGTATTTAGTATAGCTATTGTCTTAAAATTATTTCACATTGTTGTAGTTTTATTTCTGTGCATATCTGTAAGTTTACCCTCGTTCTGCGTAAATCGACGAAAAATAGTTCCCATAATGCCAAAAATACCGTGGATTGAACAGCAGGCGATTTTTGGAGATGAAATATCTTACTGCTGATGTGAGCTGGCCCTTTGCGCTTGAATTATGGCAAAGAATATTTGGTGCAGCTGAAGGGGACGATCTCTCTCTCTCCCTCCCCCTCCCTCTCCCTCTTTCTCTACACACACGCACACTTATTTTGTTCTATCCACAAGTATTATCAGCCATGATATACTACCTGATTCTAAAATACATCTATTGAGCAAAACATAGAGAACATACAATTTTTAAGCAAACATTTTTTAGTTTAATAGACCATTTTAATTGCAAACATCGACAACTTGTGCTGGATATATTCTTGTATTTAATTTTACTTTAAATATTTTATTTAAAAAATGAAAATGTTTCTGTTATAATCGCGTGGTGCAAATGTGTAAATAAGAACGAACAGAATATCGACAAATCATTAATTTGTAGTAAAGAGTGGGAGCGTTAAGTATTGTAATCCGGCTGGGCTCCTCCTCCCGGCCATGCCCTCTAATTACCGGGGCTCCTTTCCTGCTAAAGTCTGCATCGGACTGCAACATAGTCAAAGAGCAAGAGGGAGAGAGAAAGAAAGAGAGAGAGGGAGGGAGAGAGAGAAAGGTGCCACTGGATGTAATTGATTATCTTGCTATCAAGAATAACTTGTTAGTAATAGTCAATTCTGGCTGATTTTGAGGCTGACTGTTTCCACTGAAGCATCAGAGGTTGTCAGGCTGCTTCTCACTGAAGCTCAACCGTTATCCAGGAGCTGAGGACAGCAGACGAGGCTTTTTAAAGAAAGACTTAAAGTTTTCCAGCCCTGCGGCAAAAGCAACAACATGCTGCTGATCGGCTAAATCTAATTCCACGGATTTGGGGATTTCTTCTCATTCAAGTTGCTCTGTGTTTATCAATAGTTTTTATAAACTTAGCTTTTCTGCATTGTGCAAATTCGAAAAGAAAGGAAAAAATTCCAAAACTCTAGCATATTTTCAAAACAAGCTAAAAGACAAATAATGACCTCCAAAGAAGACACAAAAGGCGCCTCGGTTGAGGATCGAAGGCGCAGTCCGTTGGCCCATCTTCCTCCCCCTGCTAACTCAAACAAGCCCCTCACTCCGTTCAGCATAGAGGATATTTTAAACAAACCTGTCAAACGAGGTTACACCATTTGCGGCACGGCGCACCTGCTTTCGTCCGGTGAGAAGCACTCATCCACGGGCCATCCCCTCTCCAACCGCGCGCTGTTCACCCAGACATCTCCACTGTGCGCCCTGGAGGAACTCGCCAGCAAAACCTTCAAGGGACTGGAAGTCAGTGTTCTACAAGCGGCAGAAGGTAAACACAAGGCCCGTTGTGTGTGCAAAATTGTATTCGGGCTGTTAGACTGATATAATTTTTAAGGATGCTATTCGTGAAAAATCTTATAAACATTTTCAGCAACGTGAAATTTGTATTTTATATGGTCTATAACCTATTGTTTTTAACGCTTTTTTATTGTTAAAAGGATATCGAATATATTTGTAAAAGCAACAAAGCACAAAAATATGTGGATTGATTTTGTGCTCGTGCAATCAAAATAAATAGCAAAAATAAATATCCACGTGCAATTAAAAAATACATATAAACGGCTAAAATGTGTGCAAGTTCAATTAAATATTGGACTCATATATGCTAGTTTCTATTTTGCCATTTGAAACTGAACTGTTAATATTCCTGAAGACGTTGCTTTTACAAACGACAGTAATCTAATATTCACTTTTTTGTATTAATACTAAATGGCCTGTAGTTGGTACCACGCGTTAAAGTATAGTAGCAGACTGAATGCATTTGAATATCCCTGCATTATTTTTGTTTGTTTTAGGAAGAGACGGCATGACACTCTTCGGTCAGAGGAATACCCCTAAAAAGCGGAGAAAGTCGAGAACAGCCTTTACCAATCACCAAATTTACGAACTGGAAAAAAGATTTCTCTATCAGAAATATCTGTCTCCTGCTGATCGGGATCAGATCGCTCAGCAGCTCGGGCTCACGAATGCTCAAGTCATCACCTGGTTCCAGAACCGTCGAGCCAAGCTCAAAAGAGACCTGGAGGAGATGAAAGCGGACGTGGAGTCGGCCAAAGAGGGCTCTGTACCTTTTGAGAAAATCGCCAAACTGGCAGACCTAGAGAAAAGCGTCAATGGCACTCTCGGAGAATCAGTGGCCAAGTATCCATCACGATCTAACCACGAGCACGAGGGCACCAACAAACTCCACATGTCACCATCATCACCGTTTACAGACCACACAACGAGCAAAGAGTGCTCAGAGGATGAAGACGAGGAAATTGATGTCGATGACTGATTTTCATTGAACCGCATCGGTATTATTTATTTTTCCCCCCCGAGATGGTCCTCTAAAACCATAGAGTTGAAAGTGCCATTAATGCACCAAATGTATTAAATGACTTGTATTAAAAGCAAATATAAAAAGAAAAAAAAAAAATCAAAGCAAGCATCGTTTGGAGGCCATATGGTTTTTGAATTTTCCTCACAATTTTCAGACAATTTGATGGATTGAGCTGGCCTTCTTTTTAAAGTGTTTCGCTCAGTTTTCACAAAGGCAATAATGCGCGCAGGGGCGAGGGCATCTGGGCCTATTAATGTCCCCTCTATTCTCTCTTTTCAGTCGGCTGTTTTAAACAAGTCTATGAATTACAATGATACTGACTCGTCTTGTTAAGAGGTTGTCTTCTGCCTTTGTTTGTTTGAGTGTTTGGCTTAAAATAATAAAGTTACCATTTTGGCTACACGTAAAAGCAGAACATATGGCTGGAGTGACACTATTTATGAAATTAGATCAATTTCACACCCGGTTCGATCGGCTTCTTCTTTTTTTTTTTTTGCATTTTCATTTGGGGATTTTTGTTTTCCTTGCAAGATGTGTTATTTAGACACATTTGTTTGTGTGTCGTATGTTAGATGTTGTTTATATGCATAATCTTCTTCATGTGTTTTTTTTGTTGTTGTTTTGTTTTGCACGTTTCTTTTTCAATTCGTAACAGATTTGATAGGCATTTGTGTATTAGATAAAAACTGTTAAACAATATTTTTGTATTAATTATTTTCATTAAGTGCACCTAGCAGTGCATATCAATTATTAATAATAAGAAGAATACATCGAAGTAGGCTATTATTATTATTTATTATTAGTATTATTATTATTGTTATTTAAATGCATTTCATTAAATTATCATATTACACACAAACATTTTTTTAGAAAAGTTAAATTACATTTATACTATTAGCATATTATTAATTGTTATTAATGTCATCATTATTTTATTATTTATTTCTACAGGTCTAGATCCTTTCATATTCAATGTATCAAATAGTCTTACATTGTGGAAGATATATACAGTCGAGTGCAAAAACTGTATATTATTCGTGATTACATTATTTGTGTTTTTGAACAAAGCAAAATGTTATTTTGTATCATAAAGACGAAAGAGCTCAATCGCAACTATGAATAGACTGTTTTAAGCAACATGAAGCGGCTGTAATAGCAGGATCAGAGATGATATGCGGACAATGTGATATTTGTCTCCGCTCCATTAACATGAGCACTGTCTGCTCATGCGCCTCTGTGCTGCAATACAATCACACGCCTTTTGTAGGCTATATATTGTCTGTGATTTAGCGTTTTCTACCCAACTTTAAACGTTTAGGTTATTGATTAGCCCACATCACACACAGAACACATTTAGCGCTATAGCCTAGCTCACAAGTTAGAGAGGTTTAACAAAGCCACGTTAGACCCAGATGCCCTTATCCCAGATCAAGTCATGCCCATTATCTTTCTCTCTCTCTCTCTTCGTGCTGTTTGCACAGGCGAAAAGTGGAAAATGTATATAAGGGGTGCTGATATATCAGGAGAGCGCGAGCTGGTGGGGTTCAGTTCCTTATTTTATGAGGTGTTGTCAAATGTGGCAAAGATAAGTAATACTACAATCTGAAAGAGCATAACGTGGTAATTAATCCCAAAGTTTTAAGTGTATTTTAGCTCGAGAGAGAGAGAGAGAGAGAAAAAAATCTCTAATTCAATCGCCCGGAAAATTGAAGTTTGATGCACGAGTCCCTGCTGAAACAATGGGGTTTGCACTCTCCCTCCCTCCTCTCTCTCTCTCTCTCTCTCTCTCTCTGTCTCTGTCTCTCTCTCCTCAGCCATTTACCCTTTCTTTTTCTGGTTAATTGTTTGATTAGAAAAGAGTAGAGATACCAGCGATTTCCTGCCTTAATTAAAATTGAATATCATTTTTTTTCACGTCAAGATAGATAGATAGGTTTTTCCTTTCATGCAGTTAACATTTTAAAAAACCTTTCATCGACTCCATGCGAGACTACATGTCATAACAGTGTATGATTCGAGGTGAAAATTAAGCAGATTAACCTGAGGGGAAAGCTTGATTGATCACTAAATAGAGGTGGATTCCTGTGTTTTAGTTATAACGCTTCTGTGGGACCCCCTTAATACTTCAAACTTCAATTTTACGGACGATTGAACTAAGCATGTCCCTGACAAAATTGATATATGTATTAATTTTCTTTAACTGTTGATTAATTACTCTCCACTGAAAAAAATTATACAAGACTTTTCGCCTGGAATTTGCATATTAATCAAATTCTAGTTGATAATTCAAACGGAAAAATGGATCTGAGGGAGTTGGGCATAACTCGAAAAATATACCTAGCCAGATATTTTTTCCCCTCCCTTGCTGCTAAGCTGCGTATCTAGTGTATTAAAATCAAAGATGCAGAACGAGTTAGCCTGGCTATTTGGTGAAAACAGAAATTGCCTGTCCAGTTTTATGATGTGTTCATGCTGAGCAGGCAGATCTTAATGTGTCCTGTCAAAATGTCTAAGATTTAAAGAGGAAAGAGGCCTATTCAACACAGAGCTGTATGTGTGTGTGTGTGTGTGTGTGTGTGTGTGTGTTTGAAAAAGTGCACTTGGAGCAGAGCTTTCATGTGTAATTTGCCATGGAAACCCCTTTTTTAACGTCCACCTTCATGAAGCATGTAATATTTTGACTTTTTTTTTTTCATGGCAGGAACATATGTTTATTTTTTTGCTACTATTAATTGTTATTGTTTATAAATAATAAATTATAAAAAATAATTATAACTGATTTATTACCTTTTTGATGTGTGAGATGTAACGTCTTATTCTATATACATTCACCTCCAATCTAAGCCATTTTTTCCTTTTAATAGACATGTGAGTGCAGGTAAGTGTATATTACATTGTTGTTGTTTTCAGTTTATAATTTAAAAGTTGTCACAATACAATTGTATTGATTTTTGCTCTGCTGAGGGACCCCACCTCATCTGCTGCCCTCTTTTGTAATACAGAGGAAAATATCAGAAGAAGCACTAATTCCTATGAGTTTGCTATCATTTTGTTTTGCCGAAAGAAAATAGTTTAGCATATTGAACTGGAAGAAAACATAAAATGATGGCACAATCGTTTCATATTTTCAGTATTGAGCTTATATGTGACGAGGGCATGTCATTGAAGTTCATTCAAATAAAACATGATCAAATCTTTAGTAAGTGTTGATTGTCCTCTGACCCTGCCTTTAGGTGCTGTCGTCTGATCACATCACTATAGAAAAAAAAAAACGGTTGAGCACTGCTTAGAAGCTCTGTGGAGTGATCCAAGTGTCCAAATTATTGCCATTGGCTAGCTGTCCTAAAGTGATCCTGACCATTAAGTTACAGTGCTTCTCAAAGTCCGGACTCCAGTCCGGACCCACCTCCATTTCGTATTTCAAGAACACTAATTGTTTCCTATATTTATAAACGCATGTTAAACTTGTAAATCATATGTTTAGTTTTTTAATTAAAAAGGTAATATTGAGTTATTTGTGGCGGCCCGTCACAAAATCAAAACTGACCTCCACAAATAGATTTTCCAAAAGGATTCTACTTCCTTGAATAAACTGAGCACTGCACGTTTCAAAATTAAAATGCAGCGCGGGTGTTTTTGTATGAATGTATAATTGAAAAGAACCGACCGTCTTCAGAAAAGCTAAATTGTCATTTTCATTTCGTCTTTCCTAGCGTTTTGTATTTGATTACAGCTGTTACCGGGGAAACCGCTATATCTCCGCCCCAACAGCGCCTCCTGCTGGCAGAGAATCAATTTGCATGTGCAAGTCTCCAGGTCTGAGGGAAACACTGGTGTCTGTCAGCAAACATAAACAAAAAGCATGCTTCAGAACTGTTTTGAGAAGGTGCTTTGAGACATGTATTATTACTATGAATTAGGCTACTACTACTACTACTACTACTACTATTACCATCTTGTGCCCTGCAATAATCATTTACTCAAGCTCGCTTTTATGAGATAAAGAAAGAAAAAAAAAATCGGCCAAACATATCAACTAAAAAAATCAGCATCATATATCGGCCATTGGCTGCCCTGATTTCTAAATATCGGCATCGGCCAGAGAAAAACCCTTATTGGTCGACCTCTATTGCTGACACTTCAATTAATTGTTTTGCCACTTTTGCCCTTTATTTTTTCAAAAAATTCATGTTTATTTGTTATGCATGTTATGTATGTTTATTAAAAACAAGTTTTGTAATAACCAATTGTACCTTTGACACTAATGAAAATTCAGATATGGACCTTTGAATGTAGACTTTGAGAACCCCTTAGTTAGAACATCTAAAATCACAGTTTTATTTTTCACCCTGTGCGTAAAAATGACATTTATTAATAATGCAATTAAAAAAATCTAATACATTCCAAAAATTGTATAATTTCAAAAGATTTTTTAAAATAACTTTGAATGAATTCCAAAATAAATAAAAGATAAAAACAAAAGATTCTAAAGAAATTCTGACAGAAATTAGGATAGACAAAACATGAGCGAAGCAGAAAAATAACCAAAACGTTAACACAATAACACAATTTATTAATCCTCTTATTTGTTTATTTATCCTCTTATTTTATTATATTTTATATAATATGTTTCGTTGTCAATAGCAATAATTCTCATTTAGCACTGTTTTAATTGCACTCATCAGCACTGCAAATGTTTTGACAATATGAATGTAAAAATAGCCTAGTAGGCCTACTTGTCATGCCAATAAAGCAACTTAAAGCTAAACTAAAACTGAGACTATACTGAAAGTAGGCTATATTTATATTGTAAATGTAAAAGTGCTAAGAATGAATATGCAAGTTTAAAAGTAGGCTTAGTGAGGGAAAGACTAATGATGAAAATGCCTCGTACCAGTCTTAAGCAATGAGCTAATTCTACAAGCTTTGAGAGCATGCAGTGCCTTTTTCTCAAG